TGTTACATTGATTTTTGTTCAACCAACAAGTAAGTAAATTATAGAAGTTACTTACATTTTTAGACATAATTGACTGTTTTGTTCTATTTCACCAACGAAAATAGTTCCAAACAAAGATCAGGACAGAATTATTGCGCACACTCTCCAAGCAACACTGGCGTTTGTTACTGAGTGATTCAGAGGTTTGAAGGAATCTGTTTAATGAATAAGTGACTTACCGCCACCTACTGGCGGTTTAGTCTCATGCTTAAAAGTATGCATTTTCCCCCAACATTTCTTATTTGTATGTTCAAAATTTTATTTACAACATTAATCCCATACGACTGGATTCGTCTGAAAGAAGAAAGTCAAATACATCTAGGATGCCTTGAGGGTGAGTAATTTATGGGCTAATTTTCATTTTTTGGTGAACTAACCCTTTAAGGTTTATTTTTCTAACATCCCTGACAATTTTTCTTTTTAAAAGAATAAACATCACAAAATTCGGCCAGCTCTTTCCACACCTTGTGCCCTTTTGAGGACGGGGATCTTTTTAGTTTGACAGGGTCTCTCTTCTTCTTCTTCTTCTCTTTGGGTCTTACATCTGTTTAGTTTTTCTATCACGAGCATCTCTCTCATTTTCTCAGTGTGAATCAATGCTTAGCGCAGTGGAGCGTTGCAGTGTTTTCCTCTCTTGAGTGGCAGTTTCACAGATGCTGCACAAATCAACAGTCATTAGAATCACAGCCAGACAGTGTGTGTGTGTGTGTGTGTGTGTGTGTGTGTGTGTGTGTGTGTCCGGTCCAGCAGACCTTCACACTCGTGCTCTCGAGTCTCAGCGAGCGGATGAGCAGAATGCCACTCAAATGTCACAAAAATGTCACGTAATCTCAGTCTGGACACGTCAGATTGAAAGTGAAACTGATAGCCTCTTGGTTATTGAGTTTAAATTGTATCCTGAAATATAAATTATATTTTGAAGAGGGGAAGAATCCTGAATAAGGGTGAAATTATGTGGATTTGCAATTTCAGTCTAGTGCGACCGAGAGCATGATAATGCTAGACTAATGTAATGAACCTTACAATGGTTATGCATATGGATAAAATCTGTCATATGTTAGACTAATGTAATGAACCTTACAATGGTTATGCATATGGATAAAATCTGTCATATGTCAACATTTGCATAAGGAATTAAAGTCATAAATCATATTCAAATAAGGCCAGAATCAAACATTAAATTAAACCTCAGTGTCCTGCAGTGCATAGTAATGCGCTAACAACCACTCGCCATAACAAACAGATTAAATGTAAATCTGATTGATTTAATTCATATTCATATCATATATTTGATATAACTGTGATATTGAACCGCCAGACTGTCATTGAGTATTGCATGCAAATGGCAAGACGGTTACACTTTACATTTAGCTTCCATTTGTTAACAATAGTTAACTACATTTAGTTAAAATTAACTAACAATGAAAAATACTTCTAAAGCATTTATTAATCTTAAAGCTAATTTCAACATTAAGTAATGTATTATTAAAATTAAAAGTTGTATTTGTTAATGGACTTGAAACAATGAACAGTTGTATTTAACATTAACAAAGATGAATAAATATTGTAACAAATGTATTGTTCATTTTTTGTTAGTGTAAGTTAATGCATTAAAATGCTTATAGTAAAGTGTTACCAGCAAGACACTTTTAACTAATAGATATGACCATAATTCCCCAGTTAATCAGTCCTATTCTGAAATGTTAGGTTTAAATATACAAATAAGGCAATAACTAATTAAAAAAGTAACTCAAACAAGAACTGAAATAAAGATGCATAAAAACTCTATAGACATACAGTATATAAAAAACAAAAACTACTGTACTACAAATGGCAAAAACTAAATTACTAATATATACATATATATATATATAACATTATATAAAATATTAATACAAATTATAATAGACTATGATACAAATAACAGTGAAATCTACACATTCACGGGTATACATGCTATTTAAACTCAGCATATTGTTTTATTCTACACCGATCTAGGATAAAATAATATAGTTATTTTTCTGTATTTTTCCCCATTATATAACTTTAATTGTCTCTCAGTGAGCAGGATGACTGATGGCTGATATAATGCTGCTTTATCATGTGATACTATATAAATTATTGATATACTGTAGTAGCATGCGAGATGCACTCTAAGTTTGTGGCTTTATTGTATTTTACTAATTTTTACTCAAAATTCTCTCAAATATTGGTCTCTGAAAATCAGACTTTGTATTGATCAAGTATAAACAATGTTGATAATTAATAACAGCCCTCCTCTTTTGCCTAATATGACCTAATTTGAGAATGCTGAGTTCAAAAATATCAATAAAAACTTTCCATCATGTAGTGTTTTCACAAAACAATTATATATAAATGTATCAGATTTAATGCACATATTAAAATAAAAGCAGTCATATGACAAAAGTTTCTGACAAACAGAAGTATTCAAAATATATAATTTAACTTGCAGTAAAGTGTTACCAGCAAGACACTTTTAACTAATAGATATGACCATAATTCCCCAGTTAATCAGTCCTATTCTGAATAGGTAGGTTTAAATATACAAATAAGGCAATAACTAATTAAATATGCACTAATTTGCATACATTTCCAGAAGATAAATCTGAACATTGGATAAAGCCTTTTTTATCACTCTATAAATCAGAAAATACTCTCAACAGACAGAAAACAAACATTTTCACCATGTTTTTAGAAATAAATGTTGTATAAATCAGTGTGAATGAAATATGAACAAACCTTTAGAATATAGAGAGATATAAAACTGTAAAGTTCGGTGTTTGTAAGAGACAAACTCTTTAACGATATGGATTGAGATTGAAATCTACAGATGCAAATAGATAAAGTGCAAGTAATACACAATTAATACAAGTATTTATTTTTGGATGTTTTCTTTCTGCTAGTTATGGAAGCAAAATATAACTTCATAAATCAGAAAATAAGAAAAAAAAGAAAAATTTTCAGGAAAAAAAAAAAAAGCATAATATTTTTAGGAATAAAACCCCTCAGGAAAAACCTGCAGAATTAAAACTTTAAATTCTGGTCTATGTAAGTGCTGCTGAAGTGGAGAAAGAAACTCATTTTGAGAAATCAGCCTTTAAAGAGATGCATTATAATTGAAATCCACGGACACAAATAGATAAAGTGCA